AACTGTGGGTAAGCCCATCAAGGCTCCCAACAGTGTTTCTACCCTGGTAGAAGGAAATCATGTCTAAAATGTTGAGGAATCATTAAAAAGAGAGAGAGGGAAGGATGGAGAGAAAAGGGGAGGGAGGGAGAGAGGGAGGGAAGGAGGGAGAGAGGGAGGGAGGGAGGGAGGAGAAAGGTTTTAACTACCGTTTCTCAATTTTTCATTTGAATCTGGACAACACTAGATGAATACTGAATTTCAAGAATGAAATTCCATCTTGTATAGAATTATTTCTAGAAAAAGTATACTTAAAATATTTTCAAGCTTACTTCACATACCTCTGCTTCTACATCTACATTTTGCTTCAAAAGCAACTTCAAAATATCAACATGTCCATTTTGACTAGCAGCTTGCATAGCTGTGTGGCCAGCACACTGCCCATTTACCTAAAAAAGAAAGGAAAAAGGTTAAGACATGTCACAAATCAGAAATAAGCACATATATATATATGAATTTTTCCATCATGTATAGTATATGATTCTTTGAGAATAATCTAACACTACAAATATCACAACACAGATGACCAACACTATTTAAAGAAAGAGAGCGTGTGTCTGTATACACATGCATGTGGAGGCCACAGGTCCAGATCAGGATGTCTTCCTTGACTGCTCTCCACCTTATCTTTTTCAAACAGGGTCTTTCACTGACCCTGGAGCTCACTGACCACCTAGAGCACCTGGCCAACAAGCTCCAGGGATCTTCCTTCCTCTGCCTCCACAGGACTGTGATTACAGGTATGCCACCATGCCAGCCTATTGCTTGTTTAAAGGTAGGTGCTAGGAATCAAACCCAAGTCCACAGGCTTGAACAACATGTACTTTACAGACTTAGCCATCTTTCCAGTCCCTTGCCCTTTACTTTTCCACTTTGAAAAGGGTTTACTTAGCTTGAATAAATGAACTGCAAATAAAACTTAAGCTACAATATATAGCCTGAATAGAAATGATCAGATAGACACAACATAGGACTAGACTTGACTGCGTTACTCAGAAGGCATGTGACAGTCTAGAAAACAAAAGAATCAACTACGTCTTTGAAAAGAAAATAACAGCAATTACCAATATATCACAAAAATAAATGTATAGTGTAAGTTTCCTGACATGCATTTTCTGTATGACCTCAAATGACTATGCTTAAATGTACCTTTGACAGAAGTAAAACAAAAATTTTGCTTTAAATTTTTAGTACAGATGACATTGTTAAAAGTAACTTTAAGGGGCTGGAGAGATGGCTTAGAGGTTAAGAGCACTGACTACTCTTCCAGAAGTCCTGAGTTCAATTCCCATCAACCACATGGTAGCTCACAACCATCTATAATGAGATCTGGTGCCCCATTCTGGCATGCAAGCAGAACACTGTATATATAATAAATAAATAAAATCTTTAAAAAATTTTATTTTTTTTTAAAAAAATAGACTTGGCTGGCCAAGCAGATTATAATTTTAAGGAAAAAATAAAAAGGCAAGACCCAACTATATTTTGCTTACAAGAAACTAATTCTACCTCTAATGATACACAGAGAGACTCAAAATAAGGCATGAAATAAGATAATCCGCCGGGCGTGGTGGCGCACGCCTTTAATCCCAGCACTCGGGAGGCAGAGCCAGGTGGATCTCTGTGAGTTCGAGGCCAGCCTGGGCTACCAAGTGAGTTCCAGGAAAGGCGCAAAGCTACACAGAGAAACAGTGTCTCGAAAAACCAAAAAAAAAAAAAAAAAAAAAAAAGAAATAAGATAATCCATGTAAATGGAAATGAAAGAAAGTAGTAATCACCCTACTTGTATCAGATAATATAGACTTTAAATTCAAAGTAGTAAAGGGAAGCAAGAAGCTTGAGGCAAGCCTGAGCTCCATGACAAGCTGAAGAGCAGTGGAGTACATAGAAGGACCATGGTCAAGAAATCCAGGGCAGCCGGGCGGTGCGGTGGTGGCGCACACCTTCAATCCCAGCACTTGAGAGGCAGAGGCAGGCAGATCTCTGTGAGTTCAAGGCCAGCCTGGTCTACAGATCTCTGTGAGTTTCAAAGCTACACAGAGAAACCCTGTCTTGAAAAACCAAAGAAAAGAAAGAAAGAAATCCAGGGCTAGAGATTCATCCAAATAGTCAATAGATTCAATTTCTATTTTTAATAGAAAATACTCAATAGATCAACACAGTGTGTTGGATAGTTTTATGTCAACCTGACACAAGCTAAAGTCATCTGAGAGAAGGGAACTTCAATTAAGAAAATGCTTCCAGGGCTGGAGAGATGGCTCAGCGGTTAAGAGTACTGGCTGTTCTTCCAAGGTCCTGAGTTCAATACCCAGCAACCACATGGTGGCTCACAACCATCCATAATGAGATGTGGTGCCCTCTTCTGGCCTACAGCCATATATGCAGGCGGAACAATGTATACATAATAAATAAATCTAAAAAAGAAGAGGAGGAGGAGGAGGAGGAGGAGGAGGAAGAGGAAGAGGAGGAAAATGCTTCCAGAAAATGAGGTTATATGCAAGCCTGTAGGGCATTTTCCAAATTAGTGATTTATTGTGGGAGGGCTCAGCCTACTGTAGATGATGCCATCCCAGGGCTGGTGGTCCTGGGTTCTATAAGAAAGCAGGCTGAGCAAGACATGAGGAACAAGCTAGTAAGCAGCCCCCCTCCTTGGCCTCTGCATCAGCTCCTGACTCCAGGTTCCTGTCCTGACCTCCTTTGATGATGAAGAGTGATGTAGAAGTGTGAGCCAATTCTTTCCTCCCCAACTTTGCTTTTTAGTCATGGTGTTTCATTGCAGCAATAGAAATCCTAACAATAAAAACCCTAGCAAGAATTTAACATTTCACTTTCATCATTAGACAGAAAGATCAGCCAGACAAAAATCAAAGGAAAAGCAGATAAATCACACTTTAAACTACAGAGAAACTAAAAGAAATCTATACAGTATTTTATCCAAATACTGCAGAATAAACATTTTTCTTAACAGCACACAAAACACTCTCTCAGATACATTATATGATTAGTCTACAACACAGATTTCAACAAAATCTTTAGAATAAATTATATTGAGCTGTTTTTCTTTTTTCTGACCACAGTATGGTTAAAAAAAAAAAAAACTAGGTTTGGTAGGTTTAGAAACTATACAGTATTTGCAGAAATCAGCAATTTATGCATAAATACTAGATCAAGTTAAGTTAAAGCAAATTTAAAAGCTCTTGAAACAAAAATGTAAATACAGCCAAAAATCTGTGGGCTAGGACAAAAGCACTACTCAGCAAGCCTGTCACAATCACCTACATGAAAAAGGCAAAAACTGGAGTTGTAAACTCAGTAGCAGAGCACTTGCCCAGCACATGTAAGGCTCTGGGTTCAGTCTACAGACCTACCAAAACAAAACAGCAGCAAAAGCCAAACATGGTGGTTCAGGCCTGTAATCCCAGTGCTCAGGAGGTAGAGACTGGAGAAATACAAGCTGGAGGCCTGCTTGGACTACACCGAGTTCAGAGCCAGCCGGTCAGAACTATACAGTAAGGTCCGCCTCAACAAGCCAAGAGATGCCCACCCATCCTGGATGGTAAGATCCTCCTGATGAAGACACCACACACTTTGGCTGCAAGACACACATAATCAATCTCTCCACAGGCTGCTGGGGAGCAAAGCCTCGAGTGGCCTTGCCCAGCAATGGGCCCTGCCTACGAGACAGCTGGCCTGCCTGGGAAGGTGCACCTCTGTTCTGCTTCCACTGTTGTACACTCTGCTGCAGTAGTGCTTTTGTCCTCGTCCAGATTTTTGATTATGCTGTATTTACATTGTTGTTTCAAGAGCTTTTAAGTTTGCTTTACTTCTCCTTGATCCATTATTTATGTGTAAATTGCTGATTTCTACAGTATATAATTTCCAAGCCTACTTTCTTTCTTTCTTTTTCAATACTGGTGTAGGCACAACAGTGCTACAACACTAACCTGCCTGGTGCAGCAGTGGCGTGACTCTTATGAGAGGAACCGACTGCATTCTAATTGGCTAGGAAGGATCTCATGCTTGGCACTGTAAAAAAAAAAGTTATGGCTGGATCATAGCCTAGGGGAATTGTTGTGGAATATTACTCTAACTGTGTAAAGGTGTGTTACAATTGTTTCTGCTGCTTTTGTTAACAATGTCAAGACTGTTAACATTTGTTTAATTAAATAAAATTAACCTGGGGCCTCAGTCAGCAACAGGAAATGGTAAGGAAGAACTAAGTGTAGAGGGGGTTGTTTAATGGAGGCTGAGCAGAAGAATGGCCCCCTTTTTTCCCCAGGAGACAGTTAGCTCCTTGCTATTCAGCCTCTCTGAGCGAGCAGAATTTCACCTCAACCTTTGAATCCTGAGTTCTACAGAAGGATAGAAATTTAGATAAAGTTTCCTTTAGCAGCCAAGATAGTGCCTGAGGGAACAGAATTCCCACTTGGCTGCTGCCCTGCACTGCCAGCTGGGACAGCAGTTCCTTAAGGTGCAACCACTGAACTGAATGCAAAACAACAGGGAACCTTCTGTTTTACTACAAGATTTTGCTATCAAACTCTTCTCTAAATTCTAATGTTCATACTCATAGTTTGTGCTGCCCTCAGGTTTGCTCAGAGAAGCTTATTGTTTCCTTTAGGTATGGTTCATGTAGATTCGCAACTGGTCAATGTGCTGAATATAAGTAAGAGTGAGTGCTCAGCTGTGGGAGGGTCATCTCTATCAACCTTCCCCAATCCAAGACTCAAGGAACATCAAAGAAGAGAGGGTGGAAAGGATGTGCCAGTCAGAGAATGGGGAGGAGAGCTGTACACCTGACTTCTAGACAGGGCATAGCTGTTGTACATATCAACCTGCAGCAACTACAGTTAGCACAAGATCAAGCAGTCAGGATTCCAGCAGAGGTGAGAAAGGGGCCCAAGGCCCCACCCTAAGAGGAGTTAGTTGATAGGCAGTTGATAGCTGCTGACAGAGAGGGTCACTGTTCTTTAGGAACATGGCCACTGGTAGGTTATCTATATCAGAGATGGCACCACACCCATGTCATGCATATATATGATCAGAACTACTTGACCTCAAAGTTATTAATAACATTTTCTTTTAAAGAAGGCAAGAAGTTGAGAGAGATTGGGTTGATGGCAGTAGGAAGAGCTGAAGGAGGGTGGTGATAAAAATACATTGTATGAATGTATAACGTTTCTACAAGTACATAAAAATACTATGTACTTTGAAAAGACCCCAAGGGCTGAGGATACAGTTTAGTACTTTAGCACTTGCCTAGCACAGGTAAGGCCCTGCATCCCAATGCTCAGAACCATGAATGAAGATTCAAATAAAGAGCTATGTTAGTTATTAAGGCTTTTCCTTGCTGTGACAAATACCTGAGAATAACAACTTAAGGAAAGTATGATTCTTTTAATATACATTTCTGGGGAGGGTTTATAGTTTCAGACCATCATGGAAAGGTGTGTGTGAAGGGGCAGAACAACTCACATCACAATACCCCAGGAGAGAAGGGGAGGGGGAGAGAGAGAGAGAAATAGAAAATGCCTGTACTGGGCTAGCCTCCCCTCTTTTATTTCATCTGGACCCCCAGTCTATTGGATTGTGTTGCCCACACTGAAGAACAGCCCTTTCCTCCCCGCCCCCACCTTATTTTAATTCTGGAAACACACACACACACACACACACACACACACACACACACACACACACACAATTCACCAATCAATAATCCAGATTAACCACCACACAAGCTAACTTTGTGCTCCAAGTAAGTACAAAAATACCAACACACCAACTCCAAAATCTGTAGAAGAAGGAAATAATGAAGACCAGAGTGTGTGCTGGAGAGCAGGTCAGCATGTGCAAGGCCATGGGTTTGAATACCAGAACCACCAAAGGAAAGGATCAGAATGGAAATAAATAAAACTAAAAATTGAAAATGAAATCAAGAAAACAAAGAGCTGTTCTTTGACAAAATAAAAAAAAAAAAGACAAATCATAAGCTTGACTAAAGAAAAGGGGAATACTCAGACAAAACTGGAGATGAAAAACAAACATTACAACCAAGAGCATGGAAAACCAAAGATTCATTGAGATGATTATATACAGCCATATGTCCACAATGAACAAATTCATGGATACATACATCCTATCAACACTGAATCGTCACAAAATAGAAAACTTGGATAAAAAGTTACATGGAAGAAGGAATCAATAGCAATGTCCCAAAGACATACTTCATTCAACGGCACCTCTCAAGGAAGAACTAATGCCAGTTCTCTTCTATTATTATTCCAAAGTCTATCAAGCAAGCATTATCTTGATATGAAAACTAGACAAGGACACATCCAAAACAAAACTAGAGCCAAGTACCTTTGATGAACACAAATGTAAAAACTCTTTGAAAGATTATTCATCACAATCATGTGTACTTGAAGCAAAAAATGCAAAAGTACTTCAACATCTACAATCAATAAACATGATCATACCACTCAACAAATGAAGGACAGAGAAATAACATGAACATCTCAATGAATGCAGAAAAGTACTTGATTAACAGCACCTAATAGGCTAAATGAGGGAAAGTTGTCAGATTTGAAACAAGGCAAGAATGGCCACTTTGACCATGCATTTATTCAACCTGGCACTGGTAGTCATAGAGCAATCAAACAAGAGAAAAAACAAAGGGCATCTAACCTGGAAGAGGAGGTCAAACTGTCACTGTTTGTAGGTGACATGATTTCTATACAGAAAACCAGAAAAGCAGACAAAGTGGCACATGTCTGTTATCCCAGAATCAGAAGAGCCTGAAGCAGGAGACCAGGCAGGGCTACACAGCAAGATTCTGTCTGAAAAACCCAAGGCAGGGAGAAGGAAAGAATATTAAGTACAGAGGGGGAAAAGGAAGGGAAAGACAGAAGGATAGAAGGCCAGCTCTAAAAAATTCACCAGGCCGGGCGGTGGTGGCGCACGCCTTTAATCCCAGCACTCGGGAGGCAGAGCCAGGTGGATCTCTGTGAGTTCGAGGCCAGCCTGGACTACCAAGTGAGCTCCAGGAAAGGCGCAAAGCTACACAGAGAAACCCTGTCTCGAAAAACCAAAAACAAAAAACAAAAAAAAATAAAATAAAAAAAAATAAAAAAATTCACCAGAACACCACTTGAGTTAATAAATGTCACCAACAAATTCCAAGACACGAGCATTAGCAGCACTGGCATATCTCAATAGCAAACCATCTGAAGTAGGAAACTTCAATCCCAGTTACAACTGGTACTCAAAAAGCAAATAAGAATAAATTTGACCAGAGAGGTCAAATATTTCTACAAAGAAATTCTAAACTACTGAGGAAAGAAACTGAAGAGGACACATAAATACAGAAAGACATGCAAACTTCATGTATTACGAGAATAGAAAAACATCCAAAGAGCCCAAAGCAAGCTACAATGTATCCCAGTGACAATTCCTGACAGAACCGAAAAACTAAAAATCTAATGAACACGCACGCACGCACATGTCATCTTGAGCAGGAAGAACAAAACAGAGAGTAGCAGAGACTATTACAGTACTGATTTCAAGATATAATCAAAACTATAATAATTAAAACAGCGAGACATTGACACAAAACAAACAACCCCTGCATTAATAACAAGCTGATTTTTTGGAACTGGCAGCTGAAGATACATAGTGGAGAAAAGAGTATTTTCAGTAGCTAGTACTGAAAATACTGTCTATCCACATGAATAATAAAAGTAGGTTCATGCTTCTTATCAATTGCAAGAGCAAATTCTAAAAGGCTTGAAGACTTCAGCCCTTGTTAAATTAGGAAACTACTATTTTTACATGTCCCTCAAAGTCGTTTTGAAATGCTCACATCCACATCTGGTCTTTTCAGCAAATCTTCCACTTTGGCCACATCCCCATTGGCAGCAGCCTTCACCAGCTCTTCATTGAGGTCACCAGATTCTTGGGTTTCAAATAATTTCTTCAGAAGCTGTGAGAGTCTTTCTGCAAAGCACAAAACAAACTGCTAATAGAAGAACAGATGTTCTCCATGTTCCTAAACGCTTTTCCTGTTTTACTATTTCAACTGTGTACAACTACCCATGCAAGTAATAAGACTTAATATCAAGCTACACTAAATTCAACCCCATAAATAATCTAAAATCACATATTTCAAGTTGTAAATGCAGAAAAAGTAAGAGTGACAGATTTTAAAGTCAAACTAATGATACTATAAACAAACACACTAGCACAGGGAACCCACAATGATACAAATGTCTTTTAGGTCTTAATTCTACAGTACAGACCATAGAACATTACAGACAGTAGAATACTACAGATCATATAAAGCCCAACAGAACAACAGTTATGATTCAGAAACAATGCAACCTCTATAGTGTCTTGGAATACACTTTAGGAGCAAATCAATTTTCAGCTGAAAATGAACATATAAATGATAACAGCATACTTTATTAAGTGCTACGTGACTGTTTTCCTAAACAGTACACTTAATACAGGAGATTCTAGTCTTTACTTATTGGAGTCCTTACTCAAAAGGAAAGGAATCAAAAATTGGATTAAGAGAAAAATTACAAGTTATGCCAACCCCAATTACTTGAGAGTAGGTATGAATTACTCTTCACTTTTTATTTTATATGTGGCTAAGATAGCATAATGCAGCTAGCCTCAAAACAGAAATCAACACTGCTGCATATAAGCTGTCAGTGCACTAGCAATTTGCATCAGGAAACTCAAGAGAGAAAGGAGAAAGCAGTACAAACATAAACCTTCTGTTGATGTAACCAACAGTCTTATTAAATAAGAAACACAGAAACAATGTAAAAGAGAAAGCCGAGAGGTCAGAGCTCAGAGCTAAAATCTCACCCTTCCTCCCGAAAGAGAGCTATATCCTGTCTGTCCGTCTTTTTATAGTATTTTGTTCTGCCTTCTCATTGGTTGTAAACCCAAACACGTGACTGCCTCGTCACTATCTGTATGTACAGCCCCCCAGGTCTTAAAGGCATATGTCTCCAATGCTGGCTGTATCCGTGAACACACAGAGATCTACCTAGCTCTTCTACCAAGTGCTGGGATTAAAGGCGTGTGCCACCACTGCCACACTCTGTCTATGGCTCTAATAGCTCTGACCCCCGGGTAACTTTATTTATTAACATACAATCAAAATCACATTTCAGTACAATTAGAATACCACCACAACCTTCAATCTTTCTTTTTGGATACAAGGTCTCAACCTGCCCAGGCTAACCTCAAACTCAGATCCTCTTCCCTCCACCTATCAAATATGACCACAGGCTTGCACCACCATATCTACTAACCTCATGTTCTCTTTTGCACATTCCATCCACTATTATGACTCTGTCTCCCTTACCAGATGGCAAGAATGGACATACAGCAACTTAGAAAACGATACAGAATAAACCTGACTGTGCACACAAAGCCGGGACACAGGAAGGAGTGTTAGGACAAGTTTAGCCAAGCACTCAGCAAGTTCATATCTTACCAGTTTCTGATGTTGTGGCATATATAGTAACTTATTAAATGCTAATAATAAAAATATGACTGATATATAACAATATACAGGAAGAAAAACATCTGCTAGCAATAATGCTGGAAACAACAAGTAAGCTAAGAAAGAGAAGGTTTTTAAGAAAGAGAAGGTTTTCTGGCAGAAAATGCAAGTTCTGACTAGAGATAAGAACTGAGCTTCAAGTGTCTCAGATCCAGTACAGAGAAGCTTAATATGCCCAAGAAAAAGCACAAATTCATCAACCTTTCCAGAGTCCCTCAGCCAGAATGAAGGTTAGTCAGTGCACTAAAAAGAGGGCAAGAGGGTGGGAGAGGAAGGGAAGAGGACGGGGGGGGGGGGGGGGGGGGGGGGGGGGGGGGCGGTGGAGAGAACTTCAGCAATAAAAATAAATAATAAGGTCAGGGGGGGGGGGGGTAAGAAAAGAAAAATTTACCAAGTTTTCAATATCCAAGTGAATGAACCTATGTTATCGGGAAGAAAGCCAAGTGTACATACAAGACTCTCAGTGCAGGAGAACTCCTGCTGCTGCTGTCTGTTTTTAACTCTGGCTTTTCTATGTAGCACTGGCTATCCTAGTGCCAGCTCCGTAGACTGGGTGGCTAAGAACTCAGAGACCCACCTGAATGCTGGGATTAAAGGTATATGCCACCAGGCCCAGACTTAAAAGTGGGTATTGTTTTTAAGGAAACAAGATAAAACATACCACCAGATGCATTGCTAATGGCTGATCCTGCAGATGCCACCTTGGAAACTGCTGCAGGATTATAAGTCCAAGATGTTCCACAAACTTCCACCTTTAAATCACTGTCTGAATAAATCTGTTGTACTCGGCCAACTTTACCTAAAGTCTTAAAAAAAATTAAAGATTTATTATTAAATTCTATCACCACCTTCTGTATTTTAAAGTGTTGATTTTATTTGTTTCTAATTTTAAAAATTTTAAGAGCTAACCATATTCAAATGGATTATTAGTCACAAACTTAACTGTATCTTTAAAACCATCTGAATAATGGGGCTAGAGACATAGCTTAACCACTAAGAACATTAGCTCTTGCTCTTGGTTAGTTCACAATCACCTATAATTCTAGCTCCAGGAAATCTGATATCTTCTTTTGGACGCTGAAGGCACTCACACTCACACATGCACAGATACACAGACAGACATGTGAAAAATAAGAGTATTTGCTCTTGCAGAGGACCAGGTTCAATTCCCAGCACTCACATGGAAGCTCACAACCATCCATAACTCCAGTTCCAGAGGATCTTCATCCAACTTCTGTGGGCATCAGTCACATACATGGTGCATATACACAAATATAAGCAAAACACTCATACACATAATCTTAAAAAAGCAAAATAAGTTTTAAATTTTAAAGTCCATATTTTTTTTTTCCGTTTTGAAAATAATATGAGGAAACAGGATTATTTGACCTATGAGGTTTTTCACAATCTAAATGTTGCTAATTGGTGTAGCTGCACAGGCTTGTCTGTCCTCTGTATGTGACTAGTGAGAACTTTTCAAACTGGCTGTTCATTCTTTGAGCACAATGCTGCAAGTCCCTGGTGGTGTCGCTGCTGTCTGGTACAAGACCGGTCCTCACCTAACTTTCTTTCTCTTGAGTAAGGGAGTTATCTGAAGCCATAACCTGCACTATGCTGGTTACTGCTAATACCCTCTCACTCTTACAGATTTCTCCATGACAGAAGTCAGTAATAGAGTTTTATTTTCTTATGTTTTTTTTTTGTTTGTTTTTATTTTAAAAACTGATTTCTCGGAAAAAACATATTTCTTATTTTAAATGTATGTATGTGCACCACAAGCATTCAGGTGCCCACAGAGACCAAAAGAGAGCATCAGCTCTCCTGGAACTGAGGTTACAGACTACTGTGAGCCAGTTGTGAGCACTCTAACAACTGAGTTTAAATCTCCAGTCACCATTTTTTTAAATACAAAGTCTGTACTGTGTACTAACAGCTATATTTAACAAAAATCTTTATATAAATACAAATGCAAACACACATCTCTTTACTCCTTCTTTTAAAGAAAGACTCATGTCTATTCTGTAGTATGAGCAATACTGAAGCTAGCCATTCATGTATTCTTATGACACTCCTCCCCACCCCCTTCTCCATACCTTCACATACACTTTTTTGGGGTTTTTTTGAGATATGGTTTCTCTGTGTAGCTCTGGCTCTCCTGGAACTCACTCTGTACACCAGGCTGGCCTTGAAATCACAGACATCCACCTGTCTCTGTCTCCCAAGTACTGTAAACACACACACACTTTTTTAAAAGCAGACTGGATGTGATATTTATTAGTGAATATGACTAGTGGGGTGTACTACTCCAGCACAGTGGAAGCCCTCCAGTAAGAGTGCAAGGCCTTACCAATTTTCCAGAAGACAAGAATTAGGAATGAGCCACTTCTCAGCTACCATGTCTTCAAATTCATTAAACTTGGTGAAGGCCCACTTCTTTGAGGTAGAATGTTCTAGTGGCCAGGGACCTTGAACCTGGCTCTACACAGGTCACTAATCATAGTCCTTATTCTAGGTACAGATAAACATGATGACCTAGCCAATTTGAATCTTGGCTACTTATGCCTTAGAACTTTCCAAAGGTACCTGGATTCCTGTCTAGAACCTAGATGGGGAACAGCATTGAGATCAACATAAGCATACAGAAACTGTCTAAGGTCCCTTAGGGGAACTCATACAAGCAACAGGCTGAATGCCCAACTGCAGAGGCTGCTATTTTCAGCCAGTGCACAATGGGCTTTCAGTAATTTTAAATAACAGTAGTTCATGTTAGTTAACACAGCTAAAAAGCAAACAATTTATTACTTCTCATGTTTCCTCATTTCCACTTCTGACAGTTGCAGTTACACTGTTAGATTGCACAATCATTGTATGTGTTCCTCTTTCAATTTAATTAACCAAACAAATAAATACATATTGCATAATCAGATGGCACATCTCTAGTCCCGTGGATTGTCTCAACTCTTTACTAGATTACTCAGAACAGGCTTATGGGAATAAGGCCTTTAAATTCTTACAAACTCAGAGCAATCCACAATCTTCACACTTAAATGTCAGTTTGGGTAAATATATAGTTTCTTTTCTTAGTTTTATTAATTATCACTGTTTTCTGGCATGAAACATTGAGATATTTTTACATACAACAAAATGATCTTCTTCCCATTGTGAGCAATAATTTGACCTTTTTCTTAAAGGTCCAAAGAATTTTTCCTATCCATAAAGACTCATTTATTCCATCAGAGTAGGTTTCCCCGGGTTTGCCATGGGTCCTCCCTTTGAAGTCTAGTCTCAAATCTGTTTTCAATTTCAAAAGCATTTGGCTGGAATTACAAGTGTTAGCTTAGTGGTAGACAGCTGTCTGGCATTCACAAGATCTTAGTTCAAATATTAGCAATACCAAAAAGAATTCTATTTGTTTCAGCCCTTTACTTTTGCTGGGCTTACACATACATATATCAGATATTTCATATTTGTCCTTTTCTATAGAATATATTTTTTTCATACTTAAATTTTTCATGCTTTTGAACTTTCTATTGCTCCTATTATCTGTGGTAATTATGTGTGTGTTCCAACTTAATCATCACTTTTTAAAAAACTTATCTATGAATGTGTGTGTAGTATGTATGTATGTATGTGTATGTGTGATACATACGTTCATGGAGGTGTGTGTGTGTGTGTGTGTGTGTGTGTGTGTGTGTGTGTGTGACTGATATCTTCCACTACTTAATTTATTACATTTTGATTTACTTGTTGTGTGTGTGTGAACACAAGTGCATATGTGTGTACCATGACATAGTACAACCTGAAGAAACAGTCCTCTCCCCTTACCATGTGGGTCCTGATGATCGAACTCAGATCACCAGCCTTGCTGGCAGGGGCCCTTACTGCTCAGTCAGGGCCAGGGTCTCCTCCTCCCTGCCTCCCTGACCCTGGCATTCACCTACTGACTGGACTGGCAGGCCAGCGAGCTCTGCTGACTCACCTCCCTGCTGTCCAGTGCTAGGTCACAGATGCATGACTTTTACAAGGGTTCCAGCCACAGGAAATCAGTCCTTCATGCCTGCTTGGAGGGTCTTTACAACTGAGTCATCTCCTTTTCTTCTTCTTCTTAATTCTTTTTTAAGTTCTAACACCTTATTTCTGTTATTTCTTTCTTCTGTGTCCTGACATGTCCTTAATTTATTTTGAATTGACTTTAGCTGTTTATTTTTTAAGATTTATTTATTTATTTATTTATTTATTTATTTATTTATTATGTATACTGTGTTCCGCCTGCATGTGTCCCTGCAGGCCAGAAGAGGGCACCAGATCTCATTATAGATGGTTGTGATTCACCATGTGGTTGCTGGGAATTGAACTCAGGACCTTGCGAGATCAGCCAGTGCTCTGAACCTCTGAGCCATCTCTCCAGCCCCACTTTAGCTTTTGTCAGTTTCCTGTGCATAATCTTTCTTCTGTGTGTAGTGATGTTCTGTCCTTTAACCCTGCCTTTAGTAATAACTGCTGCACATGGAGAGAAGACCATTATCCCGCTACCTTTTATCTGAACCTGTTCATTATCCTTTTATCTGAACCTGTTCAGTCCTTTGTCCACATTGTCTCTATTCCACTCAATTTAATTTCTATTCTTAGCACTTTTTCCTTTTAACAGACAATGATGGAAGGGAGCTCTGGATGTTCTCAGCTGATTTTAGCATGAATCTATCATATTCAGCCAAATTGAATTAAGTAAGAGCACTCTAAGATTCAGCTTCAGTTACAGCACTAATCTCCACACTAGACAATATTGGATAGTTCATGCAGCAAACAGGTCCTGCTCTCAGGTCTACCACATGCCCTATCCATTCACTCAGCTGCTATACAGACTTTGATGTGGGCCAAGCAGCTGCCAGTAACTTGGCTAGCTGCTCATTCGTATTTTAAGGTAATATACAAGAGATTTATTTTTCTTGTTTTGTTTACAATTGTATCCTTAAAGCTAACAGGTTTATTTTATGTTCTAAAACATCTACTGAAGGAGTACATAGACAGACAGACAGGATACCAGTAAAGACAAGATGGGATAAGGCTAGTCAGGGCAAGAACTGAGGGTGAAGAGGAAGAACTGAAGCACTGTCCTAAGAAAGGAGGTCTGGACAGCACACGGTCGGGTGATGAGCTCTAAGAGGAGGGGTGGAGGAACACAGGCGAGAAGCAGAAACAGGATGGAGGGTGAAGAGGAGGACAAAACAGGTCAACAGGAGGGAACAAAGAAAAGAACAGATACATGAAGGACAAAATAAACTTGTTTATTACTGTTCAACAGTGGATGAAATATATACTGAATGAAAAACTAAAAATTAAGCTGTATCATTGATAGCAAAACTACTCTTAGAAGACATGCACATGTACTGCCCCACATCCCTGCACATTTTAGGCTCCCTGTAGCAGGAAGGCTGTGGTGCTGTCGAACTACTGAGACGGAAGAGCATGCTGCTCTCTCACGGGGGGACTGAACAGCAGGAAAACCTCTGTCTCCCAATTCTACATTATTGACAGGGTTATCAGAAATACTGGCCCCTTCTGGATCTTCTAGGCTAATCCAGCTGGAATAAATTAGGTATGAGTACATCTTGCTGCCTAGTACACCTAGAATACAATTCTAGAAAAGTGGTGTGTTTCTGTGTGTGTGTGTGTGTGTGTGTGTGTGTGTGTGTGTGTGTGTGTATTGTGTGTATGCAAAGCAATACTTTGCAATTACATTTTAAGTATTTTTTTTTAAATTTAACTTTCAATTCCAATTGTTTCTAAAAGTAACTTGCTTTAATTCATTAATTCCATAAGCAAAATATAATATCTCTTCCCAAATTATTTTACATATTCTTACTGGAAGCATTGCTTCAGCCCATTCGCCGTGTCCTCTTTGGAGAAGTTTAATTCTTTCCAGATCATAACAAACTTGCACAAGATCCCCCACTTGAAACTGTGAGGTGCCGCCTTCTGCACCCTGTGCAGCATCTCCACTCCGGACGATGTTTGCCTTAGTGAGGACAGCAGGATTGAAGGTCCACCTACAAAGGCAGAGCCAGGCTCAGAACACGTGAACTCAACTCACTCCACACATCTTTAAACACTGCAGCAATCCTCTGCAATTACATTCTGGATGGTTTTTATTTCTTTGTTTGTATAATTTACAATGCTTACCAGCACATACGATACATAAAGAACATCCCTGTGCATTCATCATTGTGAACATAGAGTTGGTTTCTTCAGAGTTGCTTAAGGAAAAGCTTTCTTTCCTAATCACATATATTTACTTACCATTCTGTCCTAGCCAAACTGCCTACCAAATGCAGCAGCCCTTTAACAAGAGTTCTCAACCGTGGAGTCACAACTCTTTTAGGATAACAATCCTTCTACAGGCATTGTATACCAGATATCCTGTATATCATACATTTATATTACAATTCTTAACAGCAGCAAAATTACAGTTATGAAGTAACAATAAAATAATTATATGTTTGGGATCATCACAACATGAGGAACTGTGTTAAAAGAGTTGCAGCATTAGGAAGGTTGAGAACCACTGATCTAGAACACTGCCAATCTCACAGATAAAGGCTCTCTAGTTTTAATTTGCCATGTATAAATGCTTTCCATAATTGTAATACCTGTATCAAAATAAATCTGATCTGGGGCTGTAGCTCAGTGATATTGACTGCCTGGCATGCCCAAACCCTGGGTTCAATTTCCCAGGACCACACACAAATAAATTTTTTTTGTTTATTTGTTTGACAGAATCCCATATAGCCCAGACTAGCCTCAAACATACAGAGGACAACCTTATTCTTTTGTCTTCCAGCCTCTTCATCCCAAAGGCTTAGATTACAGGCATGTGCCTCGTATCTGATTTATGCAGTGCTGGGGAATGAACACAAGGCTTCATTTGTGCCAGCCCAACACTCTACCAATTAAGCTATGTCTCTACCCCAAAATTATGGCTTCTTTATTTTACATAAGCATCTTTCCATACCATATCATCTTCCTTTCATTTTCCTGACTCCTCAATGACTCATCAAACAAATGTACCACAACATACAAAACACACTCCACTTAAACACACACTCAACTCCAGTGCAAAAATAGATCCCTTGTCAAATAAATTCCTAAATTATTTGCATTTTATACACTCTTCAGAATTCAAGTACTTATCTGGAATAACCGGATCTGAAAGATCAGACTACATTTAAAAAAAAAAAAAAATCCTGTTCCTAGAACTATGGAAGGAACCAGTTAAATAGCTCAGTGGTTAAGTCAATGGTTCTCAATCTGTCAGACATTTACATTATGGTTCATTACAGTAGAAAAATTACAGTTATGAAGTAGCAACAAAATAATTTTATAGTTAGGGTCACCATAATATGAGGAACTGTTTTCAAGGATTAGGAAGGTTGAGAACCACTGAATGAGCGCACTTACAGCTCTTGCAGAAGACCTGGGTTTGATTCCCAGGACTCACATGGTGGCTCACAACCACCTTTTAAGTCCATTCCAATGGATCCAAAGCCCTCCTCTGGCCTCCTATGGCTACTTCATACACATGGTACACATAAATTCATGCAGGCACACATACACATAAATAAATAAAATATTACAAGCATGCAAGAACATTTCTTTCTAAAGAAACCCCAGAGAGAAAGGGTCTCTGAATAGTAAGAATCATATACAGGGACCAGCAATATGCATCAGCAAGTAAAGGCATTTTTTACCACCAAGCATGACAACCTGAGTTCAAACCTCGGAGGAACCCTTAGGATAGAAGAGAACCAACTTCTGCAAATTTCCTTACTTCAATGTAAAAGTGCACACAGACAGACAGACAGACAGACACACACACACACACACACACACACACACACACACACACACACACACACACCTCAATGCCTTACCAACATATTCTGAATTTGTATCTACTGCCTAAGGACCAACTTTATTAAACCTTGACTTACAGCATATTACCTGCTTTCTTTAAGGCTCTTGTCCGTGTATGTTACCTTTGTCATCAAAACCCAGGAAACAATACTAACCTGTTGCCACTTGGATACTGTACTACAATGTCATGATCTTCATCAATGCCACAGACAGTTCCAGTCGTAGTTAAAGTCTCAAACATCCCATCAGTCCATCCTCCATGACCGTGCTGCAAAGACTGGACAATTTCTAGGTCAAGGTCTATATTTACCAGGTCACCAATCTGCAATCCACCAGGATTCCTGTTGCCATTCTGCTCACCTGTAATTCCAAACATAATTAATAAAAGGGGAAAAATGAATGAAAAAAGAATCACTGTAGTATGTAACTGCATTCATGTGTGTGATCACTACACAGCTATCATGACTGATTTACAAGTCTATGTTAATTTTCCATTTCTTCTCTATCTTCTCTAATCAGTGTGGTATCTTTGTGCAAGTCTGCTCTTTACATTTACTTTACCTTGTTTATTGACTAGTAACTACTCATGATATTCCCTTAGTACCTTTTAGTGAAATAGTTTATTTTTAACTGACACATGATCATTGTCATTGTAAATTCTTCCTTCTAGCTATTTTGAAACTACACTGTGCTACAAGACACCAGAACTAACTGCAACTGTGTGCCCAGTAACCCACCCCTTCTTCAAGTGTGTTATTAAACACAAATAGTATCTAGAAACTTTTGAAGTGCCATCTCATCTCAATGTGTTTTACGAACTCAGTATAAGATTCTAGAACTGAGTTTTCGATTACAGAAAAAGCAAGCAAACATGAACTGAAACACTGCAGCAATGTGGGCCAGGGTGTATATGTAGCTAAGTGGTGTGTCTTCTGTCAGGAGGTGAAAGGCACTGAGCTCACTTCCCAGAACCACAAAAAAGTAAAAGAAATTGTAACAATATAATCACTCATAAAAACTAAGTAGAGGCAAAAATCTACAAAAGACTACCAACCCTAAATTAAAGTACTGAGTCCTGGAGGGAAAGAACAGTCAGAGGTTTGCTTCTGTGACTTGCTGACTAGCTCTGCACCAGAGCTACAGTAACCACAGTAACTCAACAGACTGTAACGGGAAACCCAATTGCTTCCCCAAATGTGCTTAGTATTATTTTTAAAAAAACAAAATCTGGGGCTGGAGAGATGAGAGCACTGGCTGCTACTCAGAAGGACCCAGGTTCAATTCCCAGCACCCACAGAGCTCACAACTGTCTGTAACTCCATTTCCAGAGGATACAGACATACATGTAGGCAAAAAAACAATGCACATAAAATAAAAATAAATAAATCTTAAAAAGAAAAAAATTTGTATTTTTGTCTAAGACCAATTAAAATAAAGATTCTGGGGTAAAGATGTAAAATCATAAAACACTGCACTGTGAGATCTAAATGTTCATGTTGAGCCTACACTCTTCTTATAGGGCACAAAGAAAGTAAGATAGGAGCTCACCGAAAGAAACAGAGGTATGCTGTAAGAAAGTAGCACTTTTTAGCAGGGCTGTGGTGGCGCAAGCCTTTAATCCCAGCACTCGGGAGGCAGAGCACTCGGGAGGCAGAGGCAGGCGGATCTCCGTGAGTTCGAGAGTGAGTTCCAGGAAAGGCACAAAGCTACACAGAGAAACCCTGTCTCAGAAAACTTAAAAAAAAAAATAAATAAAATAAATAAAAATAAAAGAAAGAAAGAAAGAAAGAAAGAAAGAAAGAAAGAAAGAAAGAAAGAAAGAAAGAAAGAAAGAAAGAAAGAAAAGCACTTTTTGACAAAAAGACGAGTCAAAGGACTCAGAAAGAAGAGGACACCACACAATCGAGGAGAGCATCTGGACTGAGGACTTCACCACAAGAACATGGCAATAATGAATTTGCAAATGAAAGCAGTTTTGGTTTTCACACTCTTTTAAAACAAATTTATATTACTTATATTTACTACAGGACCTTGATCTTGGAGCTGTTCTTTTACTAAGAAATCAGTTATATAGTAACTGTGTGGTATTTATAAGGAATACACTGTCAAATTCTTTCCTCAGTAGTGTGAGAGACACAACACTGATATAATCTAACATAAATTTTTCAGTGGTGTAAGTTCAGTTAAAAGTGTATTAAATCCATATTATGAAACAAATAGTACACCAATTCCCAAGACGTAACAACTCCTTCTGAGCCTAAATAAACCATAGAAAAGGAATAAATGTTTTAAAACTAAAATAAAACCATATATTTCTCTACATAACTTTTAATGATAATCCCATTTTTTTCCTGTCCAATTTAGACATGATCCTAATCCTATGAACCTGACTCATTATTTGGCAATTTTCTTGAATCTGCTAACTCACCTAGCACAGGACAATGATCTCTGTAGAAAGAACCTCCTTTGGCATCCTGGACACACTTCAGATCAGACTAAGAAAAGAAACCAGAAAAAATAATCCATGAAAACGTCAAGTGTAACTCAGTACCTGAAACAGTCAAGTTTCACTCAGCACATAGCAGAGGGAGTCCAGGTGGAGAGCCACATTCAACCCCACCTCCAAAACACCTGACACTAGAACAATGATCTTCAGACAGACCTGATTTACCTTCTTTGGCTATCTAATTTTAAATTCTGAAGTTAACACAGAACTTCAACACAAGTATTTTCAAAAGCACATGGCAAACAATAAACTCTAAGAAATACCCAGTACTTGAGAAGTGCACAACATATTCACATTTTAAAATAATTTTACCCAAAATAAAACAAAAATCTCACCACATTTGATCCTTTCAAACACATTTTTTAAAGATACAAGGCAAATACATGTAAGAAGGAAAATTAAGTAAGACCAAGAGGCCTGCAGGACCAGAGAATGGAACCAAACCCAGCCTATGATCCTCTGCAGTTAATTTCTCTACCTGGTTAGTTAAGTTCCTTCCCACTTATTTTTACAAGAAAATATATCCATTCTTACTTAGGTAACTGAATGAGAAGACACCTGTGGTTACAAGTTACAGGAAATATGGACATTAATCTTTGGTGTTACTTACAAAAAAATTAAAGTGAGTTAAAGAAAAAACAGAAAATAAGCAAAAAAACCAGATGCACTAAAAAAAAAAGTCTAAGAGTTATTTGTGTATAGGAGGTAACCGCATGTCCACACAGAACCCAATGTAACATGAATGCACTAAACATGAAATGTTACTCAACCCCAGACCAGACAAAGGCTTTAATTATTTAATGTACTAGTTTGACTCAGTAATTCTCCCTCTAAAAACCTATCCTAAGAATAGGCCCATAAGACACAAAAACACAGGCAAGCACACTGCTGCCACCCTGCCTGCAGCAGTGGAGAGGGAAGGTGACCCTCAAGACATCTCATCAAATAATGGCCATCGACCTGTCTTCATTTAACTACCTGAAAACACATAGCACATACATCTTCATGTGAAACACACAGTCAGCTGGAACCCTTAAAAACACTCACAATTCAAAAGCATGCAGTGGCATATGAGTCACTAATACGTAGTAGGTAGGAAATTAGCTGACTCTATAGCCAGTGATAAAATTTGGCATTACTAAAGCATTTGCTAGCCAGGCAGTGGTGGCACACGCCTTTAATCCCAGCACTTAAGAGGCAGATGGAGACAACATCTCTGAGTTCAAGGCCAGTTTGTTCTACAAAGCAAGTTCCTGGACAGCCAGGGTGACACAGAGAAACCCTGCCTCGAAAAACCAAAGAAAAAAACAAAATGAAATGCTGTGGGATGGTCTGTATGTCAAATGTGTTGCTCTGATTGGTCAATAAATAAAACACTGATTGGCCAGTAGCCAGATAGGAAGTATAGGCAGGACTAACAGAGAGGAGAATTGAGAGAACAGGAAGGTAGAGGGAGACACTGCCAGCCGCCGCCATGACAAGCAGCATGTGAAGATGCCGGTAAGCCATGAACCACATGGCAAGGCATAGATTTATAGAAATGGATTAATTTAAGATGCAAGAACTAGATAGCTAGAAGCCTGAGCCATTAGGCCAAACAGTTTAAATAATATAAGCGTCTGTGTGTTTATTTTATAAGTGGGCTGTCGGACTGCCGGGGCTTGTCGGGGCTGGAGAGAAAACTCCAGCTACAATGAAAAATTTTAAAAAATATAAATAAAGCATTTGTTTAAGTTTATATTGGCTTTCATATATAAATAAAATATAGTAAGGAGGCATTTGGCTAATTTTCTGCTCTCTAAATGGAAGGCAAAAACAGCTGAGAAAAGAATGAAAAAGAATTCTCTGGGCTGGGGATATTGTTCAGTGCTTGGGCACTTGCCTAACATGCACAAAACCCTAGTATTACAATTAAAATAATAATTCCTTAAATGGGAATATGTTTAGAATTGAAAGGTTACTGAAGAAATTTGTATTTCAGAATTAATAAACAGTAAGGCTGGATATGGTGCCCACACCTTTAATCCCAGCACTCAGGAGGCAGAGGCAGGCAGATCTCTGTGAGTTCCAGGCCAGTCAGGGCTACAGTGAGACCCGGTCACACAATAACATAATAAATATAAAGCATTCTCTTGAATAAACCTACATTATTCTCCATTTAACTCTAGATGTTACCAAGTCTATCACTTTTTTGCTTTATCTTGTTTTTTATTTTTTCAGAAGGCCTCATTATGTGCCCAAGATGGCCTTGAACTTGAGATTCTCCTTCCTCCATTTCTGGAGTGCTGAGAATACATGTACTACAAGACAATCACATTTAATCATCAATTCTGTACTTTAACAAAAAGCTACAAGAGCGGCTGGAGAGATGGCTCAGTGATTAAGAGCACTGACTGCTCTTCCAGGGGACCCAGGATCAATTCCCAGCACCCACATAATAGCAGCTTTCAACTGTTTGCAACTCCAGTTCCAAGGGACTCAACACCCATGGCAAAACACCAATGAATATAAAATAAGAACTCTTAAAAAAAAAAAGAGAAAAGAAAAAACTTCCCTAAAAATAATTTATTACTTTTTATCAGCTACCACAGCATAGAATACAAAAATCACCTCATGCTAATCCTAATCTCCAAATCTACTCCAAGGAGTAGCCCTATAGATGATTCTTATTTTTGGTTTAGATTTTAAAAGCTAAATCCACTAGTCATTTTACTATAGCAAAAGCTGATTTGCTATTAAGTAGTTTATACTGGGTCAGGTGTGAGGAGCTGAGGTCCTCACTCCACAGACCTCCTTTGCTGCTACAGACCCGTGGCTCAGGCACATCTGCTCCAATAGCAGAGAGAGTGCACGCATGCACGCACGCACGCACGCACGCACATCTGCTCGCACCCCGGCCCGCCCACTGCACGGCTGTGCCTTCACTACTCACCATGCCCTCAAAGCCAACTCTGTAAAGGTTCTTAGCACCGTTATCCCAGAGAACATACGCTGCACTGTGTGGGCTCGACGCACTCCAGTCTTGGATTTCTGTTACCTAGCAAAGTTTAGAGGGAAAAAATGTTTTTTAAAAAAAATGAAAGAAGCCAGGCAGCAGTAGCACACGCCTTTAATCCAGCCACTCAGAAGGCAGAAGCAGGAGGAGCTCTGTGAGTTCAAGGCCAGCCTGGTCTACAGAGCAAATTCAAGGACAGCCAGAGCTGCACAGAGAAACCCTGTCTCAAAAAAACAAAAGACAAAAAAAAGTAGCAAAGAGGTTAGATGCTGTAATTATACTGAAATCTTAAAAAGCTTTTTGTCAACTTATGTAACAAAATAAAGAAAAATAACAATTTGCCAAATACGTCACTTTTAGCATGGTTGAATTATCAATAAGGTCCTATTTTTCTAGAATTGTAAGTTTTATTAAGATAGAATATCCCTGAGTAGTCCATCCTCACCTCAAACTCAAAATTCTCCTGCCTCAGCCTCCCAAGAGAGAGAAGTGTAAGATGTGTGTTTATGATGGTTTTTCCTTGTGGTCCTCAGCCCTGGGCTTCTCTGTATGCCAGGCAAGCACTCTACTGCCATGTCGTACCCCAGTCCACTGTCTTGTTGTTTGTTTGGGGGGAGCTGTCAGAACACAGCCTAGGGCGACCTCAAACTTCCTGTTTGGATTAAGGGGTTATGTCACCACATCTGACCTTACCTGAAGAGTTATGAAGTACATTCTAATATCACTGTAGAAAATTTTAATTGGGAGGTAAAGGAATTACATTAATATGTGGTGATATATTGTGTACCGTAATAAAATTTATCTGAAGATCAGAGAATAGAATAAGCCACTAGATTAAACATAGAGGCCAGGCAGTGATAGCACACACCTTTAATCTTCACTCTGTAGACCAGGCTGGCCTCGAACTCACAGAGATCCGCCTGCCTCTGTCTAGATCTCTGTGAGTTCAAAGCCACCCTAGACTACATGAGATTGACTCAGTCTAGGAAAGAAAACAGCCAGACAGTGGTGGCATACACCTTTAATCCCAGTACTTGGGAGTCACACACCTTTAATCCCAGTACTAGGAAGGGTGAGACAGAAAGTGACGTGGCTAGGCAGAGAGAGGAATATAAGGTGTGAGGAGACAGGAACTAATGCCTTTTGGTTAAAGGCTTTTCAGCAGAAGCGTCCCTGCCAGCTAGAGGCTCTTTCAGGCTGAGGAGTTGGTGAGGTAAGAGGAGGTGGCTGTAGCTTGCTCTGCTTCTCTGATCTTTCACCCCAGTATCAGGCCCAGGTTTATTATGAGAACTTTAGGAATTCGCACATTAATGGGTTATCAAAAAAATGAATAATGTGAATTTTAAAATCCTTTAAGAACACAGCTTACTATTTTTAGCCAATTATCCAATACATAATTTAAAATCTTTAAGCACGTGTCAAAACAACTGGAGATAAACCTGTTTTCTAGTCAGCTCAAGATGACAAATCCAAAGTTGTGAAGAATGGCAGTGGGCGATACGGAGCTGCTCAGTTCCCAAGAAAGCAGGCTACCCCAGCTACTACAGCACGCTGTGGTGGGCACACAGACAGGACGTCCACCCACAAACAACTGACTCTTAAAACGTACCTGGTTAAATAAACTCTAACTTGTTCTCTCTTTCCCTCTCCCTCCCACACACAAACACCCACACAAGCTGGCACTCTCTGCTGCCTAAGAACAGGGAGCTGCTCACATGCCATCCAAATGACTTTTCTCCACTCATATCCACCAGCACCTCACAAACATACGAAACAGACTATTATTACTTTAAGTGAAAATACACATTAAACTTTCTTTCCTGCTCTGTACTAAAGAAATAGTTCTGTGGGGTAGGTATTTGGCAATGCTTTTGTAGAAATAAAATGATTTCATTTTTAAGATTTAATAAACCATTTGAGAAATGCTTTAAACTACTAATAAGGCCATATATTCTTTTAAATTTTTATATGTGTTGTAAAAAAACAAAATATGTATACTTGTAATAAAAAAAAAGGAGTGAACACGCTTATAATTATTCTACTACCTTTAAAAATGAATGGCATAGTGGTGGTGGTGGTGGTGGTGGTGGTGGCGGTGGCGGTGGCGGTGGCGCACGCCTTTATTCCCAGCACTCAGGAGGCAGAGGCAACCTGATCTCTGTGAATTTGAGGCCAGCCTGGTCTGCAAAGTGAGTTCCAGGCCAGCCAGGGATACACAGAGAAATCCTGTCTCAAAAAAAAAAAAAAAAAAGAATTCCAAGACTTTTCAAGACCCTGTGTGCTCATCATCTCCACCCCTCCACCGGTCTCTCAAGAGGCAACCATCTTTCTGCCCTACTGTGCTTTAGGAATCTTCCCTACCCATCACTGCCCTACCGTGCTTTAGGAGTCTTCCCAGTTAACCACCGCATTATCTCACACAGCAAGTCTGTAATGTGCTAAAGTGAACATGCAACATGTTGTCTGTAACAATAACCTTCCTTCAGATTTGAACATAACCAGTACTTCATGTTGTAAATTTAACATTACCTTAAGTAGTTCTAATTTAGATTGATTTATTTCTATTTATGCGTACATGTGTGTGCCTGCATGAGATTATGACCTGCACATGTGTGCAGGAGCTCAGAGGCCAGAAAAGGCTTTGGGTCCCCTGGACAAGAGTTACAAGCAGTTGTGAGGCCACCATGTGGGTGCTGGGAATGGAACCTAGATCCTCTGCAAGAGCATGCAATGCTCATAACCACTGAGCCATCTCTCCAGGCCCCCAAAAATCTATTTTATTAATATTTTATTTATTTATCAGTATGAGTGAGGTCCTAGGTTCAACCCTCAGTACCACAAAAAAAGAAAAACATAGATGATAGATCAGGGTTTCTTCAACAAATAAATGACTTTTTGTTGTTTTTTTCAAGACAAGGTTTCTCTGTGTAGCTTTGGAGCCTGTCCTGGATCTCTCTCTATAGACCAGGCTGGCCTTGAATTCACAGAGATCCACCTGGCTCTGCCTCCCGAGTGCTGGGATTAAAAGCGTGCGCCATCACCACCCAGCCAATAAAGGACAGTTTTTTTTTTGTTTTTTTTTGTTTTTTTTTGGGTTTTTCGAGACAGGGTTTCTCTGTGTAGCTTTGCGCCTTTCCTGGGACTCACTTGGTAGCCCAGGCTGGCCTCGAACTCACAGAGATCCGCCTGGCTC